CTGAGTGAGGTTATCGCTAACGTTAACATCTGTAGGTACAGCAATTTGCATGTGGTCAAAGGAACGCCCCACTATCTGTCCGTAATTCTGGGGTACAGGGATAGCCAGCTGCTGCATTAGGAAAAGGGGCATGTGCACGAGATGGGTCCGGTACGTAAATTTTACTTTATAAGGCCGAACAATTTGAGAATCCTTCAGTTGACAGCCAGAATTAGATTTTTTCTTTTTCTATCTCTTGCAAATGGTCATCACTTCAAGACCAAGGAAGAGGAAAGAGAGACACAGTCCAGAAACCATTGATACAGATCTCTTACTAATTAGTACAATCTTGACAGTTACATGCCTTATCTTACGTCCAAGCCAGTTGGTCCAGTTCCGAATTCCAAGTGACATAGATTCACACGTGGAAATGAAATTGTTCTCGAAAAACAAAACAACCTGCGGCAGGGAAGCCCCACGACGAATTTCGGGGCTCTAACAAGTTTCGGCTCTTCTTCCTGGCCTGATTTCCCACAAGAAGCATGATTTCAGTTGGCATCTTTCCTTTCCAGGGAGGTCTTATATCAACCCTGGTAAGCCCTGAATATCATGCTGGCACGGGCCGACCGTGGTCACAAGTCAATGTGAAAAAGTCTTTGTCACTTGAGAGAACAAAGGCGCATGTGCTTAAGCTTGTGGTTGAGGCTATGCTGGCTGATCCAGACAATGCAATATTGTTGGTCCAGCCTCATCGTGTTGCTGACTACAGGTGAGTAAAACGAGTCAAGTGACCGCCAACTTATCTGCAGCAAGTCAACTGCGTGCAACGCCAAGATGACTAGATTCTCCGAGTCTCTCAGCAGAAGAACAGAGCCAATCAAGAATGGACGAACTGTCTGACTCAAGGCTTGGCTGGGTGAACGAATGACAGCTGGAGATGAGGCGTCGTCAATTAAGGTCGCAGAATAGAGCTGTTGGGAGTGCTGAAGATGCTCTAGAGAGCTTCAAGCATGTGATAGTCCCATAGATGCATGGCAGACTATGGATATACGGATACGTCATAACAATGTGATCCGACCCATAGACACCCCCCATACCCATACCTACAGTACAGTACCCTACCGGGAGTCTCGGGGGGGGGATGTAACGACGAATGTGTTGAAAGAGCTTTGGTAATTGTTGAACAAGGCGCGGGGGCTTGGATCACTTTATGGTTTCGGTAGAGACTCAACTCTCTGAACATCACCCACGATCCCTTTCCTCAAGACTACTCAAAACCAAGCTTTTTCAAAAGCTAAAGGCTCTGGTCGACGTCGATGAAAGTTGCAGGTGACACAGTGACCTGGGGGAGGGGAGCATGGGGATTAATGACTAGAGCGCATCAGGGCGAGGTAGAAGATACTTGGAGATTAAGTGCTTCTAATGCTCCGAGGCAACCCCACACGGCTAAGACAGTCCAAAATGTGCTCAACATGGACCGATGGGCCCAATTGCCGTGCAAGCCTGGTCCTTGGATGCATTTCCCCAAAAACCAGACTACCTTCCATCTAAGTCTCAATTACCACCGCGGTCCGCCTTCCACCTGCCGTACCGTTCCTCTGCACCAGGGCAGTCACGGTGGGCTCCCGCCGCTTTCCTCCAACCTAGCCTACCTAAACCGCTTTACCTAGTTAAACACCACCACCACCTCCACGATCCCGCCCAATCCATCCCAACCCTCCCATCCTTTTCCTGGCCCGCTACCATTTGACCTCTATAAGGTAAAATTCCTAAACCTTTCCCGGCCAGAAGCATAGCAGTCGTCCTATGAAGAAGCAGGAGAAGTCGGGCCCTGGTTGCTCCTTCTTTGTCTTCATCTAGGTCGCGGGTGTGATGCGACACAGCGAATGCACGTTTTAGCACATGCACTCTCCGTCCAGACTAAATCCCTTCTTGTATTGATCCCCTGTCGCTCTTATTCTTCTTCTTTCTCTTTTCTGGCTTGAGCAGGCAGCTCTGCAACTCAACTATCAACGACTTTTCTTCAACTTCTATTCACAACTGTTTGCTTCCTGCGACAAAACTCAACTACCAGCATAATCCCTTATCTTCTATTCGAGAAGCACATGCAACAGCAACGTACATGCAACAAATACAGTCGCAAAGTCCACAACACATTCACGAACCATTCACCAGCATAGTCATATCAATCTGCTCTTCCTCGCGGTCTCGCGACTCAGCAACTACCTCCCAAACTCCACCCAGATACAATAGTCACTTCTTTGCGCTTCACGTGGAGTGAATCGAAATTTGTCCAACCATACTCACTTGCTATCACTTGGTGGGATTGAACTGTCATGTGCTAGACAGCACATAGCTCGATATTTTTCTGGCCCATGTACGCTTGATGTCGAACAAAAAAGCACACCATTCTAAAAACATTGCCGTTTACACCGTCGAGGACTCGAAATACACCCGTCAAATATTATCAGTCCTTTCAGATCACAAAAGGTTATACATCTACTGTGGCTCGTTTGTAGCACAGTACGCTTGCTCTACAGAAAACTCATATTACAAAAGACGCATCCATGCTCGCCGTACAGCACGCTCCGAGGATGGGTTCGTCGCAGCCGCCCTCAGACGCTTTTATGCCTTTTGGCTGTAAGTGAACCGCCCACCGAGATCCTTATCCTTCGCATCCCCTCTACCAAGTCAGGCCAGTCTGCTAATCTTTGACCTGACCAGATTCATTCGACCCTAATCAAGATCCTCCGATCAATGATCCGCCAGAGCCCGCACCTGGAGCTCCTCTTCTGACAGATACCGACAACAGACTTCTAACATCCTTCTTCGACGATATCAATGCCGATCATTACAATATGCCCTCTTTTGGTGAGGGGCTCAATTTCAGTGATACTTGGCTTGATCTTCCTCCGCAATTCATGGGATCCAGTACTTCGTTTGGTCAGCAGCCAGGATCTTCACTTGGCGAGCCGTCGGCTCAAGGACTCTCCCATGGTCTTAACGAGTTCCATGGCATGGCACCAATGGGATCCAATATGATGCCCCCGCCACCACCGCCGCCCTCCCATTTACAACATCAAACTGAGCATCGACACACTCCCGACGATGTGCTGAACGCTGCGGCTACTCTTCTTCAAAACGGCCCAAACCAGCGTCAGAACTCCAACGGGATCGATACTTCGGTACAGAGGCACCCAATAGGCCCTCCAGTAGGTCACCTACGACATCAACCTATAGAAGAATTCCGGGAAGACCATCGACGGAGCGTTGCAGCAAGCGAGCAAGAACACTACCCGGACTGGATGATGGGACCCCATGACAAGCGCCAGCATCGAGCACCGCCTGCCGAATACCAATGGGGTTCTGATGCCAACTTCAACCGCATTCAAGGCTATACTCCCAATTCGGAAAAAGAAACCGCTGAGTCCTTGACGAAAGAACAACTGAAAGTTCTTGAATGTTTTGAGCCCAGTAAAAGCGCCGATAATACGCGACCCAGCAGCCCACTTCATACCAAGGGGCCGCTCCCACATAGCAGATTGGCTGAGCTCACGAAAGTGCAAGAAGCTGATGCGCCCCCGCGTAAAAGGCGGAAGAGCAGAAATAGTAAGGATACTCCAGATGAAGAGGCGCAGGAAGAGACAAGTACACCTAAGCCTGTGCGGAGGCGGAAACCTAAAGCGGAACGCGCGGGTTCCATCACTTCGGCTGTTGCAGACGACGTTGCTGGAGGAAAACGTCGCAAGTCGGCAGCAAACAATAGCAAAGTGTCGAGAGAGAACCTTTCAGAAGAGCAAAAGCGCGAGAACCACATAAAGAGTGAGCAAAAACGGCGTACTCTGATTAAGGAAGGCTTTGACGATTTGTGCGATCTTGTTCCTGGCCTTCGTGGAGGTGGTTTCAGTAAAAGTACTATGCTTGCGATGGCGGCGGAATGGTTGGAGGATCTACTGAAAGGGAATGAGGCACTGGCCGCTCAACTTGCTGCCTTAGAAGGTCGCACATGAGCTCCCTTTCTCAATCGAGTACGACACGTGCCATGTATCAGTGTATAGACGTGCGATTTGGGCGGTGTTTATTTTTTCTATTAGGGCAAAAGGGATTGGATGACCATCCCCCGGTGCGTATAGGAGTTCATGGGAGGAAAGCGTCCTCTCTTTACGGACAGAGAGATGGTTTCAAGGAGCTGGACGTCACAGCTTGCTGGCGTGGTCAAATACCCAATATGAGTAGCAAGAGGTGGTAATAACGATGTACGAATGGGGATGTAGAAAAACTGGCTCCTACGTCATGAGACGATGAGATGAGGCAGCTGGGGAAGGTAGATTACACGAGAAACACGAGAATGAAATAAGGAAATCACAGCAGTCTAGTGAGATAATCGCTTATTGAGTGACATTACCTAAGATGATGATCTATGTATACTCCGTGTCGTATCAGGGAATTGATGAGTACCTATGGAAACAAGGGGTTCAAGGATTAAGCGGATAGAGTATTGAACAGGGCTGAAGATCCATGGCGAATTCGATACTGCTTTTGTTCCAAGTCAAGATAGCAAGCAGCAACTTTCCAGTATTTCGTCACTCTTATTCGATCCCTTACTGTAGGCTGTGAAAGTCGCCTAAGCTCTGCGAGGAAGAAGCTGGCCTTGATATCGGTACATAAGTTGGGAGGGGATTGTTTGGTCGCTCTGAATGATTATGAAACGTTTCAAGCAGATGAAACCCTGAAAATGATTGGCTGTGATCAGTAGTCGGGCAGCTGCATATGGCTGCAGGAAGCCGGTTGAGCGCAATTTGAGAAGGTTTTTGTAGAATACGTAGGATTGAGGATTTGTCGCGAATTAAGTGAAGGATTCCTTGGCAATGTTGAGGATGCATGGAACGTACCTAGTATATATGGTCGAGTGCCTCTGTGATATAAGAATATTTACACATGTGCCTTTCTCATTATCTTGCTCTTTGTCAACTACAGAACATAATCTTGACGCAAGCTCTGTATCAAGGTGCTTCAGGACCATGAGGTTCTCAGTTTTTCTTCTCAATGGCCTCAGCCTCTTTAACTTGGGCTCTGCCTCAACTACCACCAGGTCCACAGGCCATGTTTCTTACTACTCACGCGATGCTGAGTCAACCTGTATAACTCCTGGTATCATTCCCAACATCACAGGCTCTCAGATCCGCAACGTTGGAGTTGTTCTCTTCCAGGCTCTCGACATGATCGATGTTTTCGGCCCTCTAGACCCTCTCCAGATCCTCTCGCTCACCGTCCAACAACTCAATCTTCACCTCATCGCTGAGACGCTTGATCCAGTTAGTACAGCGCCTCTGGCTATGAACAAGTTCAACTCAAGCTTCTTTCCAACGATCTCCCCAACCAACACATTTAACGACGACCTCAGCCTTGATCTACTTATCGTTCCTGGTGGTCCTGGGGCTAGAAACCCGAATCTTCAGGCTGTCACTGATTACATTGCGAAGATGTATCCCAGAGTCAAGGTGTTGATGACTATCTGCACTGGTGCCGGCGTTGCAGCTAGATCGGGTGTTTTGGATAAACATCTAGCAACTACTAACAAGAACGCCTGGGCGACTATGAAAGATATGGGCCCCAAAGTGAACTGGGTATCCCCTGCTCGTTATGTTATCGATGGTAAAGTCTGGTCTTCCTCGGGTGTAAGTCATATTGATCATCTCCTGAATCTGTCAATGTTTCTCATCCGACACTCTTTTAGGTCACTTCCGGTCTGGACCTCATATTCGCCTTTATCGGTACTTTCTGGGGTGTAGAACAGTCCGAGCGTATTGCGAGTATCGTTGAGCATGTTCCTCGTGTTGCGACTGATGATCCCTTCTCGAAGCACTTTAATATTACACCCACTGATGCTCAGCCCTGCCCCCAGATTTAAAGGGGCTTCCAGGCCCGTGGATGATAATGTGAGAGTAGAGTTGATGTTTGTGGCATAACTCCAGACATATCGGTTTTCGTAGAAATGGATCTAACACTATGCCTTCTTACTGATATAAACTACCTAGTTACAAGTCTCATGATAGCTTCAGTAAGATATTTGAAGGTGAATTGCGAAACAAAGTACTCATAGCAGAACCTCGTTTCTTGGTGCTTCGCTCTATTCACCACAAGATTTGAAGTGAAATGCATCTCCGGTTCTGAAAGAAATCTTGTCTCTGAAAAGAGACGTCATCACTGTTGCGTTGGAGGTCCAAACAAAGTAAACCTATTTTAAATGCTCTTTGCGAGTTTTGGTGTTATCCCATTCTACGCCCAAATCAGTATGATACAGATGTCCATCTCACTTCAGGTCTACTATCTTCACAACCCAATACCCTTTTAACGCCAGGCTGTGCTCGCCATTATAATTAACTAAGATCCATTTTCTCATCGCCGTTGCTGGCCGCTCCGCCTACTGCAAAGTCGACTGCACCTGTGTTGCCGATCAGGCGCTTCTCCGACTCAGCCACGAACTTAACGCTGCGGGCGGGATCGTAGAAGAGCTGGAAGCTGCGTTGCACATCACCAACTTCGACTTGCTTAGCTTTTCTCTTGGCAGAAACAAGTTGCGAGGTGCTGATGAGGTTACTGGCGTATCGGAGACCTGCCTCCTGACCGATCTTTGTAAGAAGGGCGAGAGCGTCGGGATGCACATCAATCTCTTCTTCTTGCGCTCGGATGGACAGGATCTGCTTGATCTCCTCAGGGTTATATGCGTGTGTGTTGATAATGACGACTCGGTCCAAGAAGTCGAGAGGCAGTCCGTGAGGGCTGCGGTAGTCAGTACCGCGAATGCGGGAGTTGCCTCGGTTGCTGGCCATGATGACCACGGGAGCAAGGTCGTCCTCAAGAGCTCGGTTGATGTATGAAAAGCACTCGATATCGAGCATATGCACTTCATCAATGAACAAGACACCAGGAACAATCTCGGCCTTGCCCTCTTCCTTCCACTCGCCGACCTTTGTGTTGATCTGATCTCGGATCTCGCTACGGATTTCGCCAGTATCGCCAGAGAAGAGAGCAAGGAAGCCCTGGGTCCTAGAGTTGATTACATCGATCTCGTGTAGTGTGACAGTGTGAACAACCTCCTTGCGCTTTTGGAGCTCTCCATCCGGGCACTGGAGGAACTTGGTATCGACACCCATGGCATCGTAGTCGCGAGATCGGGCATATGATCGGCCGAGTTTGGTGATCTTTCCAGAGGACTTATCTATCGAGATAATATCGCCTGCCATAACGCGTTCCTTGGTCATGGCATCGATCATCTTGCTACCCATATCGTAGACTGCCTCCATGTCGGTGGTCTTGATGGTTAGCTTTCCTTGCTTGGCGCTACCAGTAACACTGCGGTCGATCTGGATCTCAACAACTTCTCCCTCCATGATTTCGCTCTCCTCCTTTATTCGGACACCGATGGACTTTCGGAAGGCTTGGGTAAGGGCTTCGGTCTTGGACATCTCGAGCGAAAAGATTTCCGATGAGGCGAGTGTTGTGAAAGGAACGTCGGGGCCTAGAGACTGCGCCATACCCATGGCGATGGCAGTCTTTCCTGTGCTTCATATATGTCAGTGCGCGCAGTGCGGTGATGGTGATTGGAAGCATACCTAGGGGGTCCAGCGATGAGAACAGCACGACCAGCAATCTTTCCATCCTTGATCATCTGCAAGATGACAGCAGCAGCCTTTCGCGCCTTCTCCTGTCCAACGAGGCCTTGAGAAGCAGCTCGAGGCTCAAGGGTTGTTGTATCGACACCAAGACCTCGAATGTGAGAGTGGGCTGCGATCAGGTTCAGACCGCGAAGGTCTTTGGACTCTGACACGGTCATCACGGGCTGTGGAAATTTACTGTAAGCAATTGATTGCGCGGAGGGCGGGAGCAAATTCTACTTACAGCAGCCATCTTGTCGCGTGTTATGCGCGAGTGCAACGTGAGCAATTGTTATGAAATTTAGTTGTAAGGCAACGTCTCTGATGAAGAAAGCCTGGAAGAGCAGGGCTGGGAGCTAGATCGCGAGAGCTGCACGAGCCTGCGCATAACATTTGAGTAAAAATTGTTAGTGCGCGGCTAGCGCTTAGCGCTTAGAGCCATGTATTCGATGCGCACCGCCACATGATGGCCCACACTAGCCCCAATCTACTCCCTGAAGGAAGAACAGGTACGATCAATGTGACTCCACAACTCGGTACTGCACTGCATGGACGCGATTACACGCGATTGCCTGAGATCCATTCAGCTTGATGAGCTGCTGGAGCCACCAACGCGAACGCTATTACCACATCTCACATCTCCCCGAGTTCTCGGCAGCTTCAACCAGGAGTCGAGGGGGGGGGCAAAATTGCCTGATAAAGAATTATTCGTAGAAGCTATCTTTAAGGTACCTTAGGTATTCTGTCCTCGTTTTATGTAGTACTAGGTACCGACGCATAATGAGAATACCTAGGTAGGTAAAGGACCTTTCCCCTCCACTTTATAGAGACTAAATTCATTAGTGTCAATTGTATGGGCAAGCACCTATCATTGGGCCGACCGCTTTCTTTCTTTGATGGAGTCTAGACTCTGATAGCCTAGGCGGTGATTCAGCGAAGATTAGGGGTTACCTTATATTTAATAACTGAGCTGCCCCAAACATCCGTACTTAATGAATTCATCCATATAAATGATGATAATCCACATGAAGTGAACTCCACACTGCGTAGCCCTGGCCCAGTTGTTACAGATACCTTATTAGTTACCTTAGTTAATCCTTTTCAGATCTGTTCTAGGTTTTTCTATCTCTCGATAAACCGGCTAACTACCTTAACATCTGTGCTCCCGCTTTTGTGTCGCCTCTCATTGCTTTTTCCCTCTTCTCTCTTCTTCTATCCTCGTTCGTTCAATGCACACGCTTTTGTTCATCTCTCCTTTTCCCCTCTCCCTCCTTCTTTTCTTTCCCCAAACCGCGGGTCTCTAACTCTCCTTTGTTTTAGGTACCAAAAAGACGTTGCCCCTCTCTAGGTACCTTACTCCCACGCCCAGCCGATTCATCGACGCGATTGCCTCCTGACCTACTCAACTATCTGTCTACCTACCTACCATATTCCACTGGCGCTGTGTTCCATTGGTACAAAATACTACCTCCTACCTACTAGCGCAGTTTTCATTCGGTCCATACTCTCCTCAGAGATACCCTCTCGTCCTCCTGCTCCGGCCACTTTCGATTTGCAACCAACGGCGCACGACATTTGTCCTGTCTCGAATCCTTTGCCCATCATTTGGACGGATGCTTAGGGCTCCATTTTACTACCAGAGCCGCAATGGCTGGTAGAGACAATCGTAACGGTCGCCGACCAGCCGGTAGCTCCCCATCAGAATTATTCCCCGGCCGTATCCCACTCCGCCGAGATGAATCGTCTCATTCCAAAGATGCAGACCATGATCGAGGGAGGGGCGGTGGGAAAGGTGGTGGGGTGCCTTACGGTAAACATAGCAAACCACCTCTGGAAAGATCATCTTCCAGGAGGTCAACGAATGCTAGTGACCGCGGTAAGAGCCCAAGTCTTGAGAAAGAATATGACCAGAGTATCGCTGACATACACCATTTAGGTTCAACATTGGCCGCCGCAGCCGGGCAGCGCGTCACGAAAGGTGAATGCTTGCCACTCATAATAGACCTGCTTGGCGATGCAGCTTGTCTACGCATGCAACACAACCAAGCTGATAGCAGGCTTAAGAGAACATTAGCTGACTGGAAACGGTCGGCTACTAAAACTCCTGAATATTCTTCTGTTGACGATATGCAACGACAGGCTGTCCAAAAATGCGAGAACGAAAAGAACAATCTTAAGCAAACACTCAGAGAGATGCACCCAGCGCTGTGCGACACTTTCGATTCGTTATTCAAGCAATACGTGCAAGATCAACTTTCCATAGGCCCCAACGCCCAACAAGGAGCAACTTCTCCGCCGACGCAGGTCCGGGGCTCCCCAGCAGAGCTTCAGCCACAATCACTGGAATCCCAGAATTCGACGAGGGCATGGATGGAGAACTACTTTCAGACTGAGCTTAACAAGTTTAAGGACTCCTTATCAAACGCTCAGGAACCCGATAATAGCGAGATCCAGAAACTGGTGGACAGCCTTGAGAACGAGAAGAAGAAGACTCAACTTCTAGAAAATAAAGTAGAAGAAGGTCGGCAACAACACCAACAGCTGGAAGAGAAGCTCAACCGGCTCGAGCAGAAGCTTGATGGCGTCAACACCACGATGGAAGAAAGGATACCCGCCGAGAAGAGCCAGACAGCTACCTCAGCAACTGCTGCCGAGCATAACCAGCTTAAGATAACTGTTGAAATGCAAGGACGCACTATAAACTTTATCAAAAGCCAGTTTGACCCCGCAAGGATGCAGAAGCTCCAGCAAGACGCAGAAAATCTTGCAGATAGACTTACGAAAGGCATAAAATCAGTTAAGTCGCTCCACGAGCAGAATTCTGTTCTTATTGAAAAGCAGGGGGAAAAGCAAAAGTCCTTAGAAAACGATATGTCGTCCTTACAAAGTACTTCTCGAAGCCAGGAAGTAAAGCAAGAATCCCTTGGAAAGGACATATCATCGCTACGAAGTACATCTCAAAATCAGGGAGCAAAGCAAAGTTCTTTGGAAAAGGAAATCTTGACCTTGCAAAAGACCTCTGAAAGTCATGCGGTAAAGCAAAAGTCCTTTGAAAAAGATATGTCGCTCTTACAATGTACATGTCAAAGCCAGGGAGAACAGCAAAAGATAATGGATGATGTCGTTTCCGGCATAAGATCTGCTGTAGAGAGTCTTTCACAAAAAGGGGAATCCTTAGCTGAGGATATTGCCTCTCTGCGATCATCCGTGGAACAAACACAAGAGTCTCAGGGGTCCCAGGAGGCGCGGCTGT